AGGGTGACGGGTAGGGGTGTAGGGGTGGATAGGGAGATGGGTTCAGGGGGTTGGGTAGGTGTGTAGTAGGCATGGGCATGGTATGGTAACAGGTGGGGGGCGGGGTTGGGCCGGGGCCCAGCACCCCAGGGCTAGGGTTTGGGTTGGATGAGTTCTAGGAAATTTGGACGTCCGTTGGTGGCCGTTGTCTCGAACCGCCGTTTGAGCGCCCTCGACCACAACCCCGATTGCCGTTGCCACGCCCTTGTCCGCGTCCATAGCCTCCACGCTGTCCGGAGGAGGAGCCATCACCATAATTGATGCCAAAAACCCGATCCCCATCGCCGCCGTGAGGAGGGCCGCGGCTACCACCGCCGCCGTTCTGGTTGCCGCTGAAACTGCCGGCGTCCCGACCTGCCAGTAGTGCCGTGCTGCTGGTTTCCCAGTGGAGTCCTCTGCCGATCGAGAAGGAGAAGAGCCGACCGCACTTGGAGAAAACTCGGCAAAGGATCCTGAAATTGGAGGAATAAAGTTTGGGCTTGTAGATCGTTGGGGAGGCCTGATAAGCCGGGTTTGGGTTAGTTCTTTTTATTCAATTTTAGGTATTTTTAATATTTTTAGAGTTTAATTTTTAGTATTTTAGCTTAGTTTTATTTTAATTCTCATTTTTACAATCTTTTAATTTTCTTTTGAAAATAGTAGGTTTTTAATTATTTTTTAACATTTTATTATTGTCTTCATTTTATTTTATTTTTCCCAACCCAAAATTATTAGATATCTTATTTTTTTGGAGAAAAATGTAGCAAAAAGGCCAAAGTGTAGTTCAAGTTTGAAAAGAAGAGATCGAATTTGGGCCGGAGCCCAAACCCAACACAAAAGAAGACCAACTCAGCATTCACTCCCCCAATTTGATTTCACGTCCAGCAAGAAAGGAAAAAGAGATCCAGTAGCAGCTTCTTCTTCATTAACGCAGCTGCGAAGTAACAGGCGCTCCAACGGGAAAAAATCTTTCGGCTATAAATTGCGCCTTCGCTAACCAAGGGAGGGGGAACAACGGGAGGAGGCATTGCACCAAACAAGAAAGAGAGCAGCGGCTTTGGCCGTTGCAATTGACGCCACCGGAGAAGAAAGCAGATGGCGGCCGACCACGGCTCGCCGGCGTTCGACGATGGTCGGCGGCAACTAGTGGCTGTTTGATACGGATGTTAGGGAGAACGAGCCCGAACCACAACACGAGGACGACCCAATTAGACGCCCGAGAAGGAATGTCCGCCCACCCCGGCGCTACGACGATTATGTCTAGTTATTTCTTTATTTATTTATTAATTGTAATTTAGATTTTCTTTAGGTGAGCGTATTATAAGCTCCTGCGAGGATTTCTTTTCGGTTCTTTGCCTCGCTGCCTTTTTTTGAACCGATAGGGTTAGGGCTTCGTAGCATTAGGGTTTTCCTTATTCTCCATAAATAGGGTGTACCCATCTATATTCATCATCAATATACGAGGCATTAGATAGTAATTTCAATATTTTTCTCTTTTCCTTCTTTGCGCAGCCGCATACCCCCACCGGCCAAAGCAGCTGGAGTTAGGGTTTCGGCCTCCTTCATAACAAGTGGTGCTTTCATTGTCGTACTCATGGCTTCATCCGACGACGCTACCCCTCCCGCCCTAACCATGGATGATCTCATGCATGCTATCACGAATCTGGGGTTGGAACTGCAGGCCACTAAAGCCCGGGTCGCCGAACTCGCGGCTGTGCGGGCTCCTTTCCCGGATGACGGACGTCGACCACCACGCTCACCTATGACGGGTTGGCGCCCTCCACCCTCTTGAACCACCGTTGGGAACGGCGATCCCATGCCCCGCATGCGGGTGGATGCGCCCTGCTTTAACGGGGATGATCCAATTGGGTGGATTTTCCGTATCCATAACTACTTCGACTATTTCTTGACGGCCGAACCGGAGCGCCTACAGTTGGTGGCGATGCTCATCGACCACCCCGCATCGGAATGGTTCCGCTATTACCAGGCGAACACTGCTGGTGGCACGTGGGAATCCTTCCTCATGGCGGTCCGCCAACGTTTCGATCCGGATTATTATGAGAATTACATTGGCCTCTTATCCAAATTGTCCCAAACGTCCACAGTCCTGGATTATCAAGCAGCCTTTGAGTCCCTTCTAAATAAGGTTACGGGCGTTCCGGAACCAACACTTATTGCCATGTACATCGCCGGGCTGAAACAACCGGTCCAACGTGAAGTCAATCTCCGAACTCCTGGCACGTTGCAGGCCACATTCGCCTTGGCACGTGAACTGTCTGCTAGTCACAACGACACGGTTGCCTCGTATGGCTCGTCCCAACGCCGGCCTTGGACCTCGCTCCCTCTTCCTACTGCACTGCCAGGCCCTTCCACTCCAGTAGTGTCCACTCCACGGCTCCAAAAACCACCAGAACCTGGCGCACCAACCCCTCTTCCGATTGTTCGTGTTTCGGCGGCCGAAAAGACGGAACGCGCAAAAAAGGGCCTTTGTTGGTATTGTGATGAGAAATGGGTTCCGGGCCATAGTTGTAAACGTCGGTTCCTTGTTTTTATGGGCCCGGATGACGAAGAGGACATGATGCCGGATGCCAAAGACACAACTTTGCCATTGTGTGATGACACTCTTATTACGGGGGATATTTCGAGTATGCATTCGCTGTCGGGTAGTCCGAGTCCGCGGTCTCTCAAATTGGCAGGTTCCGTTAACAATACGGCTGTACAGGTTCTGTTGGACGGAGGTAGCACCCACAATTTCATTCACCCCACCGTCGCTCAACGCCTCGCCTTGGTTCTTCATCCTGTTTCAGCATTTCGTGTTTACGTCGGGAATGGTGAATCTTTGGTCTGCTCCTACTCATGTCCATGAACGCCTCTCTCTCTTCAAGGGCACCTCTTTGAAGTGGACCTATTTCTTTTGGAAATTCATGGGCCGGACATTGTGCTCGGTGTCCAGTGGCTCCAAACTCTCGGCCGCGTATTGCATGATTATGCCCAAATGACGATGGAGTTTACCTGAAACGGGTCATCAGTGACTTTACAGGGGGATACGCCGGTGCCACGACCAATTTCATACAGCCATCTTTGTTCCTTGGTAACGGCAGGGTCTCCACTGGAATTTTATGAGCTCTTACCCGGCCAATTGTCATTACCCGAAGGTCCAGGCCCTACGGATTTCAACAGCAGTTTACCCGTCGACCTTCCACCTGCTATCCGGGCTACACTTACATCCCACGCAGAAGTTTTCGGGCTGCCCTCTGGTCTGCCCTCTGGTCTGCCTCCCACCCGGTCATGGGATCACCGCATCCACCTGGAGCACGCCACCAAACCAATCAATGTTCGTCCTTATCGGTATCCGTACTTTCAGAAGTCCGAGATTGAGCGCCAGGTAAAGGAGATGTTGCAATAGGGCATTATTCGACCAAGTCAAAGCCCCTTTTCTTCACCCGTCTTATTGGTACGCAAGAAGGATGGTACGTATCGTTTTTGCGTGGATTACAGGGCATTGAATGCCGCAACCATTCCGAATCATTTTCCAATCCCGACGACTGATGAATTATTTGACGAATTGGGTAATGCTCGTGTGTTTACCAAGCTCGACTTGCGCTCCGGATATCACCAAATCCGGATGCATGCGCCCGACGTCTTCAAAACGGCTTTTCGTACACATGAAGGCCACTACGAATTTTTGGTTATGCCCTTCGGCCTTACTAATGCCCCCTCCACGTTCCAGTCGGCAATGAATGGGTTATTTCGAGACTATCTCCGTAAATTCGTGATTGTATTTTTTGATGACATACTTATCTACAGTGATACATTGGATGGCCACGATACACACTTGCAGGTGGTCTTGGGGATCCTACGGTCCAACTCTTTTTTTGTGAAACTCAACAAATGTTCCTTCTGTCAGACCACAATTGGATACCTTGGGCATTTAATCACAGCGGGCTGTCTAGAAGCCGACCCCGAGAAAATCATGGCGATGATTGCATGGCCGGTTCCATCCTCGGTTTCTCAGCTGCGAGGGTTTTTGGGGTTAACCGGATATTACCGCCGGTTTATCGCCGGATATGCCGCCATAGCCGCCCCCTTGACGGACCTTTTGAAGAAGGATAGCTTTGCATGGAATGATACCGCCGCGGTCAGTTTTGAACGCCTTAAGCACGCATGACTACGGCGCCAGTTCTCCGGTTGCCGGATTTCACTAAAACCTTTTATGTCGAAACCGATGCTTCGGACACAGGTGTTGGAGTAGTGCTATTGCAACAAGGCCATCCCATAGCCTTCTTTAGCAAGAAACTCGGTCCTCGACGTCGGACGGCATCCACATATCACAAAGAGCTATACGCTATTGTGGAAGCAGTGCAAAAATGGCGTCAGTATTTATTGGGTCGGGAATTTGTGATCCGCAGTGACCAGCGAAGCTTGAAGGATCTTCTGTTCCAAATCATACAGACCCCCGACCAACAATTTTACATCCGGAAGTTAATGGGGTTTAAATTCCGGATTGAATACAAATCCGGGGCAATGAATCGCGTGGCAGATGCACTCTCCCGACGTGAATCCGCGGACACAGGGGATCTCTTCACAACGTATGCTCATCCAATCCCCTCCCTCATGGATGATATACGTAAGGAAAATGGTACTTTAGTGGACATGCAGGAACTTCATCGAGCAGTAACAAATGGTGTCGCGCCAGCTCACATTTCAATCAAGGATGGCATCCTCTATTATCACCATCGGATTTATCTTAGCAGCAACTCTCCCCTTCGCATGCAGCTTCTGACCGAGTTCCACAGCACTCCAACGGCTGGCCACCAAGGCGTGGACCGTACTTTCCGGCGTTTGGCCGATGTTTTTTATTGGCCCCATATGCGACGCGACGTCCGGCAATTTGTGGCAGCCTGCACGGTGTGTCAAACTACAAAATATTCTACTCAAAAGCCCGCGGGTCTTCTTCAACCCCTCCCCATCCCAGAGCGGGTATGGGATGCGGCAACCATGGATTTTATTACGGGATTGCCTCCTTCCCGTGGCTACACCATTATAATGGTTGTGGTTGATCGCTTGTCCAAATACTCCCACTTCGGCTTGCTTCCGGGAGACTTGGACGCCCCACGTGTGGCCCGGGTATTCCTTGATGTTGTGGTCAAGCACCATGGCTTTCCGGGTAGCATTGTTTCGGATCGAGACCCCGTCTTTATGAGCCTCTTTTGGAAGGAACTGTTGTCTCTCAGCGGCACATCCTTGAAGTACAGTACGGCGTATCACCCTCAAACGGATGGACAAACGGAGGTTCTTAATCGTGTTATTGAGCAATATCTTCGGGCCTTCGCGTCGGACCGGCCTGCCCGGTGGTCCAGCATGCTGCCGTGGGCTGAATTGGCCCTCAATTGCAGCCACAAATCCAGCATCCGGATGTCTCCTTTTCAGGCCTTATACGGTCGCCCTCCACCCTCCGTTTTCTCCACTCCTTCGACGCGTTCCCGAGTCCCCGCTGTTGAAGAAATGCTAAAGGAGCGGGCTGAGGTCCTCCAAGCTTTGAAACAGAATCTGTTCCGAATGCAGCAACACATGAGTAGTCAGGCTAATAAACACCGGCGTGACATTTCCTTCGCCGTCGGTGATTGGGTGCTTCTCAAGCTGCAGCCCTATCGTCAGCACTCAGTTGCTAAGCCACGGTCTGTCAAGTTGGGACGCCGCTTTTATGGGCCATTTGAGGTGCTTGAACGTATTGGCCAAGTGGCGTATCGACTGCGTCTACCAGACGGATGCCGCGTCCACAACGTCTTCCATGTATCCTTGTTGCGTCCTTTTGTTCGTTCGACGACGCATGTTCCTCGAGTCGCCCTCCCAAAGGATTTTTTTCGGGGACGTCCAGTGGCTATTCCCATTGCCGCTACTCGTCATCGCACGGTATTGGTTAACGGCGAGCCTCAAGATCAGTGGTTGATTCAATGGTCCGACGGCGCGGCGGACAATATGACGTGGGAGCCCGTTTCAGAAATGCAGCGCCATTTTCCAACTCTCACCCTTGAGGACAAGGCCGTTTCTGAGGCCGGGGGAGTTGATACGGATGTTAGGGAGAACGAGCCCGAACCACAACACGAGGACGACCCAATTAGACGCCCGAGAAGGAATGTCCGCCCACCCCGGCGCTACGACGATTATGTCTGTTTCTTCAAGCTCCAATTACTTCAATTTCATCTTCTTCAACAATTGGTAACCCTTATTTGTCAATTTCTTTTTCTTCTCCATTTCATTGTAAAAAATGTTTCAATTCAAATTTACATTTTTTCCCTTGTTTGTGTTAATTTCGAAAATTCCAAAATGGTTGGTGTTCTTTTATGGGTTTTTTTATGTTATATTAAATCCCTTATGAATGAAAATTGATTCTTACTAGTTTCTTCAATTTTTGCGCAAATTGATGTTAAATTGGTTGAATTATAAATTTGATTTCATAAGTAGGTTGGTATGTTGAATTTGGTTATCATTGAAGCTAATTTAGCTACATATTTTAGTTAAGTGATTTTTGAATTCATACGTGAATCTTTTTTGTGACTTGTGTTTTGTAAAATTTTAAGGTAAATGATCTTCTTAGCCACATAAGTCGAACGTTTTCCTTAAGATTCGTTATAGAGTGATTGTTTATGTCTTGGTGTTTGTTTGTTATTTTCATAAAAATTGGGATTGTTTAAGCGCAATAAACAACTCTTGATTTAATGAAAATATGTAATGTTTTTCTTATGTGAATGGAATACAATTCTTATGCTTGAGTAGTTCAAGGAGACCTGCAAAATATTTTCATCATTAGATGTTAACGTTTATTTAAGTGTATCAAATGTTCTTCAAGAATACTTTGTGCATGGGAGTTAGAATGAAAGAAAGATTTGCTCTTTTATAAACTTTTTCATCTTTTGGAATCATTGTTTGAGCGCTTGAGGTGAGTGGGGGTTCAAAGTAACCAAAAGGCCTTTGAATCTTTGACTCCGGACCTTATAGAGAGTTGACGATCCTCTATATGTGGTCAAGGATATGAATCAACTCGAGCCTTTGAATTCTTTTCTATTCTTAAGTGCGTAAGTTACGTAATATATTGTCTACGTGCCTATTATATGTGTAATGTTCGTTTTGTGTTCGTTCTCTTTTTAATTTTGTTTTGGGTTTTTGGCGGTGTTTCTTGGGTTACCTTAGTTGGAGAAGTTGATTATCTTTTGAGCTTGTTTTCCCCCATTTTATCAAAAAAAACCAAAAAAATAAGAAAATATAAAAAACTAAAAAATATTTTCTTTTTATCCAACAACCCCCCCCCCTCTTTTGTGTTATACTAGCATAAGTTTATATTATAAGTTTTATAAGTGTTATCTTTTGTGTAGTAATTAGTTTTACTTTTATTTTCGTGACAATGTGTTTGCATACTAAATTGGTTTTAAAAAGTACAACATTTCTCCGTGGGATCGACCCTTACTTGCCCTAGCTATAGTTTTTATTTAATTATATATTGGGGGTTAGTTAAGGATATTTTATAAATTTTTAATTTGTTTTGGACCTTACGACAAGTCCCCAACAAATTTTGGCGCCGTTGCCGGGGAAATTGTTTTGTAAAAAAAATCAGTTTCGTATGCATAAGTATTCTTGTAAGCATGTTGTAAATACTTTAACTTTACTTTTTTTTTAAATATAACTTTCTTGTAAATTTGAGTATATATGTGAATTATTAGAGTCGGAACTAACCTTTTTTAACTTGTTTGCATCATTGTATGTTCTACATTCAGCCTGAATCTACTAACTATGCATGAATTTGAGCTTAATTTTTCACAAAGAATCTGATTTTTTTCCTTATTTAAGAATTTAAGTGCTTCTCTTTGTGAAAAATTGAAATAAAAAATTTCAAACATGATCAGAAGTGTTTTAAAGAAACACTGATACTGCATTGTTTACCACATGTGCAGCTTGTGTTTATGCGATTGAGAAGTGGTAAAGTAATCGGTGAAGAAAGAGAAAGTGAAACAGGTAGTAATAGCGACCAGGTAAGTGAGTTAAGTGAGGCTGAACCCTCTTTTAATTTCGATAATCTTGTGGAACTGTTTGGGTCTGCTCGTACCATATCTGAAATTACACCTGTGAGTGTATGCGTGCAGAACATAAGTGAATCTGATTTCAAAGAATCAACTTTTAATAATCAAGCTAGTTCTAAGATGGCAGGCCCTAACCGTACTCTTCGAGAATTAGCTGCACCTGACCTGACCATTCAACCTATTTCCATCACTTATGGTGAGTTGGAAAAACCCCTTAAACTTAATTCTGGATTTATCAATTTACTTCCTAAGTTTCATGGTCTTCCTGGAGAGGATCCTTTTAGGCACATATCTGAATTTATGATCACTTGTGGTGCAATGGTGCCTGAAGGAGTCTCTCCAGACCAAATTAGACTTAGAGCTTTTCCTTTTTCCCTTTCTGATAAGGCCAAAGATTGGCTTTACTATATGCCAGCTGGATCTTTCACCACGTGGAATGACCTTCATAAGGCTTTTCTTGAGAAATTTTTTCCGGCATCTAGGATTGGGTCAATTAGGAAAGAGATTTGTGGGGTTAAACAATTGAATGGGGAGAACTTTTCTGAGTATTGGGAGCGTTTTAATAAGCTTGTTTGTTCTTGTCCTCAACATCAAATAACCGAGCAGTTGTTAATCCAATATTTTTATGAAGGACTTTTGCCTACCGAGAGGGGCATTGTTGATGCCGCTAGCGGTGGTGCATTAGTGAACAAAACCCCCGCTCAAGCGAGGGAGCTTTTTAATACTATTGCCCAAAATACCCAACAATTTGGAACTCGTGACAATGTCGTGAGGCCGGTTAGCGAGATAGGGAATTCATCTTCTTTAGAATATAAGCTTTCTGCCTTAACTGATGCTATTTCTAAACTTGTTGTGGGTAATATAGGGGGTAGTAAGGGTAAACATTGTGGAGTGTGTTGCTTGGAAGGACATCCCACTGATGCGTGTCCAACACTCCAAAATCCTGAAGTTAATGCTTTGTTTTTCAATAATAACAACCAAAAGAAGTATGATCCTTTTTCTAACACTTATAACGAGGGTTGGAGAGACCATCTGAATCTGCGTTATGGTCCTCCGAGGGGTAATAATCTGAATTTTTCTAATAATCCACCTCCCCAACAAGATAGGGCAACCCAGATGTTAGAACAAGTGCTTAAAAAGATGGATGATAAATTTACTTCGGTTGACATAAGTCTTAAGCAACTTCAAGAAAGACAAACAGCCTCTGAAACTTTGATTAGTAATATGCAAGCTCAAATGAACAATAGGCTGCCTTCTCAACCCATTCCAAACCCTAAGGAGAACCTTAATGCTATAGAGTTAAGGAATAAAAAGGTGCTCAAAGAACCTAAATGCATTAGGGAAGAGGAAAAAGAGTTAGAAGTTGAACTTAGAAGTCCAAAACAGCCCTTAGAACCTGAAATTCAGCCTCTGGACTCTGAAGACCAGTCTTTAGAACCTGCAACCAGCATCTTAGATGAGGATAATGAGGCTGAAAAATCTGAGAAAAAAGGAAAAACTGACCTTAGGGATAGAAATCCAGCCCTACCACACCTTAAGGCACCCTTCCCTAGCAAATTTCTTCAACCTAGAAAGCCTAAAGAAATTGATCTTGCACTTCTTGATACTTTTAAGAAGGTGGAAATTAATTTACCTCTCTTAGAAGCTATTAAGCAAGTCCCTAAATATGCTAAGTTTCTAAAAGAGCTTTGCACCAACAAGAATAGGCTAACGGGGAATGAACGGGTAAGAATGGGTGAAAATGTTTCTGCAGTTTTTCAAAAGAAAATTCCTCCAAAATGCAAGGATTCTGGTGTTTTTACCATTCCTTGTCTTATTGGTGATTTGCACTTTGATAGAGCCATGTTGGATTTAGGGTCTTCTATTAATGTAATGCCCAAAGACATTTTTGATAAGCTTAATATTGGGGAATTGAAACCAACAGGGGTAGTAATCCAATTAGCCGATAGGAGTTATACTTATCCCGATGGTCTTCTTGAGGATATCTTGGTGAAAGTCAATGACTTAGTTTTTCCTGCTGATTTTTATGTGTTGAGCATGGGTTCTGATACCTCAGACATACCCATTCTTCTAGGTAGACCTTTCATGAAAACTGCTAGAGCTAAGATTGATGTTTATGATGGGGTTTTGTCGCTGGAATTTGATGGTGAAAAGATTGAATTTAACTTGTCCTCTGCGATGAAAAGTCCCATTGAAAATAATCAGCTTTGTTCTATGGATGTGATTGATGATTGTGCTCAAGCTGTTTTTAACTTGTCTAGTGATGATGTGCTTGATTCTGTGTTGTGTAATAGCCTTGACAGGGTAGAACTTGAATGCTTAGAGTACAGTTTGTCTAGTGAAGTTTTGAACTTAATTGAGTACCTTGCTGAGTTTGAGGAGCTAGAAAACCTTAGCCAACCAGTGTTTAGGGCTGAATTACTTGAGAACAGACCTAAGCTGGCTCCATCCTTAGTCTCTCCACCTAAACTTGAGCTTAAAGACCTGCCCGAAGACCTTAAGTATGCATTTTTAGGTCCAGACCAGGCCCTACCAGTGATTATTTCTAGTGTTTTGACCAAAATTCAGGAAGAGAAACTCCTAAAAGTCCTGCGAGAGAATAGCCAAGCAATTGGTTGGACTTTGGCAGACGTGAAGGGGCTTAGTCCTACACTTTGCAGCCATAAAATAAGCCTAGAACCTGATGCCATACCTAAAGTAGAGCACCCTAAAAGGCTTAATCCACCTATGTTAGAGGTAGTTCAAGAAGAGATCCTTAAGTGACTTGAACATGATGTTATCTACCCTATAGCAAACAGCCCTTGGGTAAGTCCAATCCACGTAGTTCCTAAGAAAGGAGGAGCCACTGTGACTGTTAATGAACTAGGTGAGGCCATCACTGTTAGGAAACCCAATAAATGGAGGGTGTGTATTGACTTTAGGAAGCTTAACAAAGTAACTAGGAAGGACCATTTTCCTCTTCCTTTCATGGACCAGATGTTAGAGAGACTTTCAGGAAAGTCTCATTATTGTTTCTTAGACGGGTACTCCGGCTACATCCAAGTACCTATAGCCCCTGAGACCAAGAAAAAACAACTTTTACATGCCCGATAAGTACCTTTTCCTTTAGGAGAATGCCCTTTGGTCTTTGTAATGCTCCCGCTACTTTTCAAAGGTGTATGATGAGCATTTTTTCTGAATTTTCCACTAAGATTGTTGAGATTTTCATGGATGACTTTTCTGTATATGGAAATAGCTTTGACCAATGCCTTCAAAACTTGGATCTGGTTCTTAAACGCTGCATTGAGTCAAATCTAGTTCTTAACTACGAAAAATGTCACTTCATGGTGGAAAAGGGGGTAGTTCTAGGACACATAGTCTCTGCACAGGGCTTAGAAGTTGATCCCGCTAAGGTAGACCTTATTAAGACCCTTCCTTATCCCAAAAACCTTAAGGACATTCGATCTTTTTTAGGACATGCAGGGTTTTATAGGCGATTTATTCAAGATTTTTCTAAGATTGCTCTTCCATTAACTGCTTTACTTTCTAAAGATGTGCCTTTTCTGTTTGATGATGCATGTAAACTTGCGTTTGATACTTTGAAGGATAAACTGTGCTCTGCTCCTATTATTCAAGCTCCTAATTGGGATTTACCTTTTGAATTGATGTGTGACGCTAGCGATAGAGCCGTAGGAGCTGTTTTAGGACAGAAGCTAGGCATTGCCTCATATGTTATCCAATATGCTAGTTGTACCCTTGACACTGCCCAAGTCAATTACACGGTTACTGAGAAGGAAATGTATGCTGTTGTGTTTGGGCTTGAGAAATATAAGTCATATCTTTTAGGTGTTAAGGTACACATTCACACTGATCATTCTGCACTTAAATATTTAATGAGCAAAAAGGATAGCAAACCTAGACTCATCAGGTGGATTCTTTTAATACAAGAATTTGATTTTGAGATTAGAGATAGGGCAGGTAAACTTAATCAAGTTGCTGATCACCTTAGTCGTTTAGAAGGACCATCGTCCAATCCTAGCCTTTTCACTGGATCATTTCCAGATGAGAATCTGTTGGCAATTTCTACAATTCCTTGGTTTGCTGAAATTGTAAATTTTAAGGTTACCAAGACCTTTCCTCTTAATATGCCCAAGTCCCTACGTGAAAAAGTTCTGTCTCAAGACAGATTTTACATATGGGATGACCCTTATCTTTGGAGAATATGTTCTGACCAGATTGTTAGGCGATGTGTAGACAGCTCTGAGATTCCTTCTATTCTGAATTTTTGCCACTCCTTAGAGAGTGGTGGACACTTCGGACCGGAAAGGAGAGCCCATAAGGTATTAGAATCTGGTTTTTTCTGGCCTACTCATAAAGATGCTGCTGATTTTTGTAGGAACTGTCCTAAGTGCCAAAGAACTGGTAATATTTCCTCTCGAAATCAAATGCCCTTGACTCCTATTTATGTTTGTGAACTATTTGATGTATGGGGTGTTGATTTCATGGGTCCTTTTCCTCCTTCTTGTGGATTTGTTTACATTTTGCTCTTTGTTGATTACTTGTCTAAGTGGATTGAAGCTATACCAACTAGGAAAGATGATGCTCAAACTGTGGCTAAATATGCTAGATCTCATATTATCCTTAGATATGGCTTTCCGAAGACTCTCATTAGTGATAGAGGCACTCATTTTTGTAACAGAACCTTAGAAATCCTTTTCTCTAAATACCATATCACTCAAAAGATTTCCACTGCCTATCACCCGCAAACCAATGGACAAGCCGAGATAAGCAATAGGGAAGTGAAGAGTATTTTAGAAAAGGTAGTGAGACCGGATAGGAAAGATTGGAGTGATAGATAAGACGAGGCTTTATGGGCCTATAGAACCGCATATAAGACTCCACTAGGCATGTCTCCCTATAGGATAGTATTTGGAAAACCGTGTCGCCTTCCGGTAGAACTTGAACACAAATCATACTGGGCCATTAAAAGAGTTAATTTTGATTATGACAGGGCAGGGAAACATAGGAAACTGCAGATTCAAGAGCTTGAGGAGATTAGACTAGAAGCTTATGATAATTCAGTAATATATAAGGATAAAGCAAAAGCCTTTCATGACTCTAAGCTTTCTAGAAAACACTTTGAGATAGGAGATAAAGTTCTTCTTTACAACTCTAAGCTTAGGCTTTTTCCAGGAAAACTTAGCTCTAGATGGTTAGGACCCTACACGGTTATTAAAACCTATAACCATGGAGCAGTAGACATTAAGAGCCACTCCTCTGGAGTAATTTTCAAAGTTAATGGACATAGGTTGAAACTCTTTCATGAGGGAGGATTTGCAGGATTAGTGGAGGAGTTAGAACTAGAAGTCGAACCTTAGGACTCTTCCTAGTTTCGTCTAGCCAAGGACGTTAAACCGAGCAGCTTATGGGAGGCAAACCACCTACTATTTCCGTTCTTAATTTAGTTTTTTCTATTGTTCTTGCTTATCTTTTGCTTTACTAAACAAAACAAAAAAAAATCAGAAAATCAGAAAACAGAAAAAAAATGAAAAAAACTTCATCATCAGGAGTACTCAGAATACTGCTGCATTTACTGGATTTAATGGTTTATTTTGCTTCATGTATGCTTCTAACTATTTATTTGAGTGTATATTCAAGATCTATTAAGTCATAGGTAGAAGCATGCCCTTTGGAGTAAAAATCTGCACAGACAGGTGAGAAATCTGATCCAAATCAGTAGCTCCAGCTTCCAAGTGTCCCAGGTTTAAGCTTTAGTTTCCTTACCCTCTTGTGTTCAAAGATTGGTTCCTGATATTACAATTTGCACAATAAGAAGTTGCACTATGAAGTCATACTTTTTTTTTGCAAAAGTGAATAACCTCTCCTTTCAAATCTGACTCTTGAGCTTCAATGGTAAAAATCTGCATCATTATTGTGCAAAATTCTGATCCAAAACAGCAGTTTCAAACACCTAATGGTTGCTTTGTTGTGAGCTTTCAGTTCCGGGTGTTAAAAAAGTAGTCTGAAAATTGATACATGTGCATTGTTTACAACTGATTTTTGGATACTAATGAAAAGTTCTGCATTTTGAAAAGTTATTTTTGGACTTGTAAGCTGATTTTTTTAGTGCAAAATGAAAATTTTACACTTTTTACAGCTTATAGGTGCTGGAATAGAAAAAATCTGCAATCTTTTCTTGGTGTTCAATCTGATTTTTGATGTTAATAGATGCATATGAGCTGCTTTGCACGTGCATGACATAACTAACCGTCTCATATACAGTATTCTGCTTTGAAAATGCAAAAGAGCACAAGAATCTATTTTCAGGAACCTGACTTGAAGCTTGAAATCTGCATTTCTTTAAATCTGATTTTTAGTTCTTCAAAGCTAAAAATACTTGGTCTTAGCCTTCTTTTTGCAGATTTTTTAGGTCAACAAAAGCATGATAAGGAACGGGGAATGATGAATTGATGCTGCGTATACTTTTTTGATTGAATTCCCCAACCCCCTTTTCTCTTTGCTAAGCTTGTGTTATATTGCCATTTGCATATCATATAGATGCATCGAGGACTATGCACATTTTAAGTGTGGGGGGAGTTGCTCATGCTTGTGTCATTGCTAAAAAAAACTTTTTGGGGAAATTTTTTTTTCAAAAAAAATAGGTTTTGGGTCCAAATATTTTTCATTCTTAGTTGCATATTTCCTTATTTAGAGCATTGTTTTCAAACTTTGACCCAAAAACCTCATTGTTTTTCTTGGGGCTTAATTCTGAAAGATGGCAAGTGTATACTTTATAAACCCGCATTGAGTCTTATGCTCTTTTCTTGGTAAAAAAAAACGACCTTAAAATGTTTGAAATCCTTATAGGTTACCTTAGAATTTTTTTTTCTAGAACTGGTCATCCACATACTATCTAGATGCTGCCTAATCAACCATTGCTTGATATTAAAATATGAAAAAAAAACAGAGAGAAACCAGTTTTAGGAGCCTTTTATTTTTAGAAAATTGAGTGATTTTTATATTTTTAGGCTTATTGATAAACCTTGCTACTGCTGCTATTGAGCCGTTCTAAACCGTAGGATTTCGCTAGGAAACTTTTTTGTAGCAGCATTAGAGCAGTTGTTAGAACCCAAAAAATCCACACCTTAGTTTTCCATCCTTGTAGGATTTCTAGCTCACTTTGTTTTTAAAACTAGTATTCCTACCCGAGCAATGCACGGGTTCGGACGAATATCTTGTCGATTCTGAATTTATTCAATGCAATATTTTTTTACGGAATAAAGGAAATATACCTCATGCATGATTTATAATAACACAGAAAAGAAAGGCAAAGTAAAAAAAATAATATTTGAGGAATTGAATGTACACACAACAAAGTTTGCTTTAATACCAAATTTTTTGAAAAATTTCAGGGTATACAACATTTTTTGTATGGCTGTAAGGATTTCCATTGTCATCTAAGACTAATATTTTTAATCATGTCTTTGTCTTCACTCGCGAAACAGCAACATAAAGTTGACCATGAGTGAACACTGACTTGGTTAAAAATAATCCAACAAATGACAATGTTTGACCTTGACTTTTGTTAATAGTCATAGCAAAATATAAGACTATTGAAAATTGTTTTCTCTGGAACTTTAGAGGTAGTCCTGGATCAGACGGTACCAAATTCATCTGGGGTGTGTAAACTTTTTCGCCCACTCGATTTCCCAAAACCACAATAGCACCAAGAACATTCTTTTGCATCTCGTCAACAATTAATCTTGTACCATTACACAATCCAGATGTTTGGTCAATGTTCCTCATTAACATAATTGGTACCCTTTTTTTAAAACTATCCTGTGGTTTGGGATTCCCGAACATTTGATTTCATTCAAAAACTTAACTGTTATCTAGTCGCCATTAACACCTACATCTGAATCTGTTTGGCATGATGAATCAGAACTCAAGTACACCATTTCATCTCCGGGAATGAGGGATAAGACAAATTCATTTACCATTTCTACAACTTCAAGCATGGGTGCTAGTAGTGCCCTGTCTTCAAAAAAAGAATAACTTCTCATATTCTCCAATAAGTTCGGATAAGTAAAGTCCACTATACTTTTGAGGGGTGAGCTGTTATCTATAATCAAAAATTTGAGAGGAATTTCAACGTCAGCAGTTCCATCAACACTTGTCCAAGCTTTCCATCTCCAACTTTGATTATCCAATCAGAAAAATCTTGTGTGTCTCTATCACTCTTCATTTATTTATTCAATATGGGTAATTGAAGAATTTTGGTTTTTTATACAGATTAATATAATTGTATTTTGAAAGTAAAAGCAAAATAACCTTCCAGCCACTAAAAAATTATAAGAAATCCTATTAAACATAAATTTTATTTTGTATGCAAAATACGAATAAGAGTACAATTCTTGCATGTTCGTCCATGAATATCATCTCAATCGAATTCCTCATCTTCTCATCATTATACACTGGCATCTTGTACAGTCGAATCACACGAACAAAAACTCTCCAGCATTCACTTGATGGATTGATCTTCAACAAAGGGTGGATCGGTTTGGAAGACATGTCAATTAATCAGAGGTTTTAGGTCTGAACGCGGCTTACAATGAAAAAATAGATTGATGAAATGGTTTACTTAAAATTTGATTTATATATGACCTATTATAAATCGTAAGAAGAAAACTTACAGCAATAAGGGTAGAAAATCTAGAGATTTGAACCAGAAAATTCGAAAGAAGAACAAATTAAATTTCGCAGAGACTAATCATCATAAGAAGGAAAGAAGGCCAATCATCCCAAAAAGAATTATGATTTTTTAAGAAAAGGGAAAGTTACCTATTCTTGGTACCGATCGTTGGAATCTCCGTGACGAAGGACTATGAAGAAGGAAAGAGATTATTTCCAATCACATATTCTCTGAAATCTCGCGGTGGAGCCATTCGAAGATGAATATCGCAGGGAGGTGCAATCAAAGGAAAGTGCCGCTGATGTCTCGCTTCATTCAGACTTGCGGATGAGTTCCACACAGAGTAGCCCAAATAAAAGAAGCCCAAAAAATGAATTATTATCCAACCCGTTTGAAATATTGAGTAAGCCCAATATGATGACATGGCTTATGAAGTGTCAAAAAAATCCCCGTCAAGATGACAAATGTCAAAATTCTGGGAGTTAAACTCCCAAATATAATATATAAAGGAAAGGATGTGAATGAGCATAAAGTCTTAAGTGTGGGGGTTTAAAGTTCACTTTGTTTCTTCTTGACAATGATAAAAAAAATAATGTTTTCTTTTTGGCCCTTGAACGAGGACGTTCAAGTCTTAAGTGTGGGGGTATTTGATAAGCTGGGTGATGGGTAATAACCCATTAATACCACCCGGTTGGTTCGGCCGACAGGGTGGTGACAGAAGTGACAGAACGCGTCCTGGTCAGACCGAGTCGTTTGGCCGGTTGATGGGGGCTGACCACCAACAACTGCAGATAGATTCTTCAAGTATTCTCATGCAACCGGTCAGAAACTTGGCCGGTTTGATAACCAGAGACGTGCTTGACGTGCTTAATTTTGTTATAAATACCCCTAAAATCCTCATTTGTGAGGTATGTTTTTAATTAACCTACACGGCTTGTACTTTGTAATAGTCCTAGAATTATCAATAACAAACCGGGTTACAGGTGTTTCCACCTACAGCCCTTCCGATTACTTTCACTTAGTATTTGCGTGGTAATTTACACCATCAAATTGGCGCCACCCGTGGGACCCATTACAAAAGTCATGGCAAGCAACCAGGAAACTGTCATCTCACAAATTTCTACTCCCGCTGAGAACGTTACTTCGTTCCCAGGGGGAAGTACCCAACCGACAAGCCAGATTCCTACCCCTATTATCACCATTCCACCACCTATCCCATTCACTTCTCCCATAAACCCTGTTCCTGTTTTTCCTCCAAATTTCCCCGGGCCTGTGGATTCGATGTATTCCCAGGCTCTTCAAAATTTTGGGCAGTTCATGTCCATGTTTCAACAGCCGGGTGGATTTACACCTTTTATTCCAGGATTGTATAAACAATCCTTGCCTCAAACTAACATCATCCGCCTGGTCATCCTGACGAACCTAATCGGGGAAATGGATAAAGCCGGTCCATCTCGATCTAGAAGAAGCCGTTCGCGTAGGTCCCAGACGAAGGTGACCTCGGACGGGGATGTGCGCTCAGTCCATAGCAAAGACGAGGATTGGGACGTCCCCCAAGCGCTCAAAAGTTGAAGGGAAAGGCTGTTCAACCAGAAGGATCTAGGAGGTCGGCCTTTGAAAGGCTGGGACACGATGGCCGAAATCAAAACCGGTGAGCAAAGGAACGGTTGGGGGTGGAGACCATCCCAGCTAGTGCCCTTAATCGTGTAGGGGGAGGAGCCGGACGACCTGGTCAGACCAGGCGAACGGAACCACCCCCACGAGATGAGCCCCAGCACAGCCGGGCACCACGAGAGAGGAAGCAGAAAGCCACCCCAGGCACACGACTCGTACCCATGTTGAACCACGGGATCGTGTGGGCCGGGTTGAGGCACGTCTGGAGAAACTACAGCGCCGGGTAGACCGGGAGGAAAAGAAGAAAATTCTGTTGAACGAGTCTCCGTTCACAGACCGGGTTCATGAGACCCCGTTTCCAAAAAAGGCGAAACTTGAAGTCCCAAAGTTCACCGGGAAAGAGGACCCAGAAATACATGTCAAAACTCTTCATCAAAACGGGCGGATGATGGGTCTTTCCGGGGATGAAAAATGTTTACTTTTCTTTCAAACCCTCCGCGGCCGCGCTGCTGAGTGGTTTCACAACTTGCCGGCCGGCGAGATCGATTCTTTCGATGAGCTGGCCGAAGTGTTTCAAGAGAAGTTCAAAGAAAACTGTACCAAGAGGAAAAATTTTACCTACTTGAGTACAGCCGGGCATCGAGAGCACGAGGATCTGACGAAATTCCTCACTCGGTGAAAGGATGAGGTTGACAAAGTGGAGGAGATGGACGACAAAACAGCCATGTCCCTCCTTGTGTCCGGGCTCCGGTCCGGAGAATTGTATAAGGAATTCTGCAGGAGGCCTCCCCAGTCCTACCAGGAGGCCTACAACACAGCCTGGGATTATGCTGACGCTGAAGCACAGGTGTCATCCAAGAGGGAGGCCGAGCAGGGCCATTTCAAAGGAAATTGAATTGCCCGGTAGGATAAAAGCAGAAGTAATGGAGGTAAAGCCGGTCAAATCAGAAAAGAAACCGACCGGCGAAAAACAATGGACGGAGAAGTATTGCTCCTTTCACAAAACTGATTCCCATAACACTGCGGAGTGTAACAGTGTGAAAGGAGTAATTAAGCAGATGATCGAGGCCGGGGAGATCGATCCTGAGTATCTAGCTCAGGCCAAGCAAAAGAAGAACCAATGGATCAGGCCTGAGGGACAACCGGTCGAACAGAATAAGAAGAAGAAAGCGGCCGGTAAGGAGCATCTCCAAGTCATCTACGGCAGACCGGAAGGGGGAGACTCTGCTTCCCAAAGGAAGAAATGGGGGCGAGAGCTCTACGTAGGGGCGGTGGCCCTCAATCCCCGGTCAAAACAAGCAAGATGGGAACCGATCACTTTTACTGACCGGGACCTTCCCGCCACCGGAAAAGATCACAATGACCCCCTGGTCATAACCATGGACATGGAGGAGTCGATGTCTCCCGGGTACTCGTTGACACGGGCAGTAGTGTCAACGTGTTATACTTGGATGCTTTTGAGAAGCTCAAGTTGTGTCGAACACGGCTTGAGCCCTTGAAGACTCCCCTGTCTGGGTTTACCGGGGACTCAGTCGAAGCTGAAGGGTCGATCCTTCTAACCTGTGAATTGGGCACAGGCGAGCAGGTCGTCCAAAAACAAATGAGGTTTGTGGTTGTGAACATCAAATGTGTTCACAATGCCATTTTGGGCCGGCCTGGAATAAACAAGGTCCGTGGGGTCATCTCCATGGCCCATCTCTGTATGAAGTTCTACACCCCGGGTGGTATAGGACAAGTTAGAGGAGATCAAAAGAAGGCCCGGCATTGCTATTTGGAGGCTGTAAGGAAAATGACGAAGGCGTTTGAGAGAGTCACTTTGGTCTCTCAGGAGGAAGACCGGTCAAAGTTAGAACCAGGCGATGAAACCGAGCAGATTGTTCTCCGGGAAGCTTTCCCGGAAAGAATGGTACGGATTGGCAGAGATCTGCCCGGAGGACTTCGAGATGAAATCATCTCAGTCCTTCGGGAGTATGCAGATATTTTCGCGTGGAGTGTGGCGGACATGCCAGGCATTGACCGTTCTGTCATATGCCATCGTTTGGCTGTGATGGAAGGGAGCCGGCCTGTGAAACAAAAGAAGAGGCACTTGGCGAACGTCCGGAGGGACTTTGTGAAAAAAGAGGTGAAGGATTTGTTGGCGGTCGGGCACATACGGGAAGTACAATACCCAGCCTGGTTAGCAAACGTCGTCTTGGCTCCGAAAGGAGACACCTGGCGCATGTGCGTAGACTACACGGACTTGAACAAGGCATGCCCCATGGATTCATACCCGCTGCCCAGTCCCGATCAGATGGTCGATGAGACGGCCGGGTGTGAGTTGCTGAGCTTCATGGATGCCTTTAAAGGTTATCATCAGATCTTCATGGCCGAGGGGGACGAGGAGAAGACTTCTTTCTTTACACCAGAAGGCACTTATTGTTACCGGGTGATGGCCTTTGGGCTAAAAAACTCAGGCGCCACCTATCAGAGGATGGTAAACCGGCTTTTTAAGCCACTCCTCGGTAAGTCCATGGAGGCCTATGTAGATGATATGCTGATCAAAAGCCCGGGCGCGACAAACCACCCGGCCGACATGAGGCTTTGCTTCGAGATTATGGCTAAGTACAACTTGCGTCTCAACCCCAAGAAATGCGTCTTTGCTGTAAAGACCGGTAAGTTTCTGGGGTTCATGGTGACCAAGCGCAGTATAGAGCCTAATCTGGAGAAAATCAAGGTCATAACCGAGATGAGGTCGCCTAGTTCACTGAAGGATGTACAACGACTTACTGTGCGGTTGGCAGCTTTGAGTCGTTTTCTCTCGGTATGCAGAGAGAACTCTGCCTTTCTTCAAGGTATTAAAGAAGGCCAACACATTCGAATGGGACCAGGGGTGCGAGGAAGCTTTCCAACAGCTGAAGGAGTACTTAGTCTCTGATATTGTTTTGTCTAAACCCAAACCGGGTGAGACTTTGTACTTGTATATGGGAATTTCCCAAAACGCTGTAACCTCTGTTTTGATAAGAAATGAAGACGGCCAGAGGCCTATTTACTATGTGAGCAAAGCACTAAATGGGGCAGAAAGCCGGTACACTGCCATTGAGAAAACGGCATACGCACTTTTCATAACGGCCAAGAAACTGACCGCGTACTTCCAAGCTCAGACTGTGGAAGTACTAACCGATCAGCCACTTGGACCGGTCCTTCGAAATTCAACCTCCTCAGGAAGATTGATCAAGTGGGCGATGATGCTCACTCAGTTCAAAATAGAGTATAAACCAAGAACTGCAATCAAGGGTCAAGCTTTGGCAGACTTCCTCTTCGAACTGACCGGTCTAGAGCCCGAAGCCGGACCTTCCCATACGGTCGAACCGTGGTGGGATATGGTCGTTGATGGGGCCTCTGGACCGAAGGGATGCGGGGCCGGCGTAGTCTTCACTACCCCGGAAGGATTCAAGATCTACCATGCCTTAGATTTTAATTTCAAACTCACCAATAATGAGGCGGAGTATAAAGCGTTGGCCGGTGGTCTCAGATTAGCCCCGGCTCTCGGAATAAAAAGGATGAAGATCCGTTCCGATTCAAGTCTGGTTGTTGGACAGGTCAATGGTGAGATGGAAGTAAAAGAAGATCGCCTGGCCCGGTATAGTGACCTGGTCCGAGCACTCCTAAGGGAGTTAGAAGAGTTTCGTCTGACCAGGATACCCCGGTCAGAAAACACCGATGCAGATATGCTTTCAAAATTGACGCAAGCTTGCCCGGAGCATGTGTCAAAATTGGCGAAAATTGAGATACTGGACGTGCCGAGCACAGACCGGTTCGAAGTCGTGGCCTTCCAACCGGACCAGACTTCAGCGACCGGGATAATCGGAGCAGATGATGACTGGAGGTACGAACTCATGGAGTATGTGGAGACCGGTCAGAAGCCAGATGACGAGGAACGAGCCAGGAAAGTAGTCCTACGGGCTCCACGTTTCCAGGTAATCGACGGTCATCTATACAAACGTGCCATTGGCGGACCACTCTTGCGTTGCCTTACCAACCCGGAGGCTGAACGGGTAATAGCCGAGGTACATGAGGGAGTTTGTGCAGCCCATCAAATGTCCCGCACTTTGGCTCAAAGGATAATCCTGCTAGGCTACTACTGGCCGACCATTGTTGGGGATTGTGAGAGGTATGTCCAGAGATGTAGAACGTGCCAGGTTTTTTACAAACATCCCGGCAGACCGGCCACATATTACCAACCAACCTCTAATGTCATACCGTTTGCCCGGTTTGGGATTGACATTATTGGAGCCTTCCCGGTTGCCCAAGGCGGAAAGAAGTTCGTGATGGTGGCTATTGATTACTTCACTAAATGGATCGAGGCTGAGGCGATGGCCACCATAACCGTACGGCAGTGTGAGAAATTTGTTTGGAAAAACATTATCACCCGGTTTGGTGCCCCAAAAATCATTGTCACCGACAACGGTCCACAGTTTCGCAATCCCCGGTTCACTGCATACCTTGCTAGCTTCGGGGTCAAGCATAGCAAGGCATCGGTAGCATATCCACAGGGAAATGACCAAGTCAAAAACGCTAACCGGACAATTGTGGACGGTCTAAAAAAGAGGCTAGGTGAGGAAGGACACAAGTGGTTGGAAGCCTTACCTCATACGGTCTGGGCGCATAGAGTGACTTCAAGAAGAGCAACTGGAGAGACTCCTTTCGTGCTCACTTACGGATGTTAAGCCCGGCTACCAGTGGAGGCAGAAATTCCAACATTTAGGGAAACCGTGTACCAGCCCGGTCAGAATGAGGTCGACCACCTCGCTGAACTGAATCTGGTGGAAGAACGGAGGACCATAGCAGCGGTCAAGATGGCCGGTTACTAGCAGTTAGTAAAGCGATATCATGACAACCGGGTAGGCCCGCGATACTTCCAAGTGCGTGATGAAGTGTTGCGCAGAAGAGACGCTAGTAAGCCTAATGAGAGGGGTAAGCTGGTACGAAACTGGGAAGGGCCCTATCGCGTAAAAGCAATCGTCAGACCAGGCACTTACCAGCTAGAGACTATGGAGGGTGGCCGGGTCGACCGACATTGGAACTCTCACCACTTACGTAAATTTTATAGATAAAGTGTAATGAGTTCCCGGTCAATAATAAAACTTGTTCTTTTCCAAAAGATGGTTCTCATACATTAACCGGTAATTCGTCACGTACCAATCTACCCGGTTAGATGTCCAATCGAATTGGACATCTCAAAAAAAAAAGAAACCGGTCTGACCGATCCAACACCTCATCCATACTGACACGGGAGTTAAAAACGATTTGGCTTAACTAGAGGGAGAGCATCCCGACCAGTTTAAGTCAGACGTTCTGAAGAAAAACTTAAGGTTTACCTTTCCACAAGGGCGTTAAGCCATTGTGGAAACAGGTCGGCCTTACAAGAGCCCGGGAAAATGCTGAACCTTTCGAAAAGGACAAGTCAATACGCCATTGAGGGTTATACCAAACCGGGAGGAAATTTATAAAACTTAAAGTCTTCCCGGCGGACTATCCAGTCTTTCGAAAAGACTTGGGTAAAATTGTATTCTAAGCCGGGTAAATACAGCCAGGCTGTTATTTACTAATCTAAACGGTTAAAGAATCTAAGTTGAAAAGAATTAATGAGATATGGAAAAAAGCACTCAGCACATAATATAGAAAATATTTTCATTAATATTTCAACGTCTTACAAAAAGCGCCCGGAGGCAGATCATTACATCATAAAACAAAAAAAAAGAGAATTAGAAGAGAAAAGAAGGCCGAACGGATCAGATGCCCGGGAATGGAGGTTCAGGCGCCTCGCTATGCAGCTCGGGCAGAGAAAGGGCCTTCGGCTAGAAGCCTTGGATCCTCTACTCAAGGATGCCATAGAGGGCCTTCCGCTCGGAGTACTGGCCGCTTTCAAACCCGTAGGTCCCAATCTCGTCCACGATACCGGCCGATACTTGATGCTTGTAAAGACCTTGGAAGAAGCGGATGGCCGTCTCCCCGTCAGGCAGCGCCTTAGCGGCGAACTCCTCTGGCGCTTGAGCTGCCCAGACAGCGGCAACGGCGGCCCGCTCCGATTGCTCTTTCTGCAGCTCATCCCCCAGCCGAGCGATTTCCTCAGCCGACCGGACGTTCTCGGCCTCCAGGTATTGGATCTTAGCCTGAGCCTGCTCGTCGGCCTCTTTTGCAGCCTTGAGGAGACCGTCATGCTTGGCGTACAGCTGACGGTAGAACGTGCAGTGTTCCAACCACTTCGCTTCCGTCTTCTCCGCCTGGGCACGAGCGGCCTGAGCATCCTTCCGGCACTGGACCATCATGGCCTCCATCCGTGCCTTCTCCTCATCTCTTGACTTCACCAGCCGGGCGAAGTACTCTTCCCCGATCCGACCGGCCTGCTTTAATGACATGAAAATTTTTCAGTAAAGAATATCAGAAGCTGAAAGAGAAAGGTAAGGAGAAAGGAGGGGGGATTACCTCACTCAGGTCAGCACGAAAAGCTTGGAAGAGCTCTTCGTCTGACCTGGACATCAGAATCATGGACCGGGGCACTACTCGGCCCTTGCCAGCATCAGAGGACTGGCCCCTCTGGTGGGATGGCTGGTCGACCTCCTCAGTCTTTCGCCTCTTCCGTTGAAGAGACTCCCCAGCAGCCTCCTCCTCGGCTTTGCCCTCCTCGTTGGGTTGGCCTGCCAACCCGGCTTGGGACGTATGCCCAGTCTCCCTCATCAGGTTGTCGAACTCGAAGGTGTCTACGTTGAAGTAGATCTCCCCCGAGTGAAGGGGCTGGTTGGTCCCCTGATGGGATTGGGCTGGTTGCTCCTCCAGAGAGAAAGGCTGGTTGGTAGGAAGGTTGAGTGGCTGAGCAGTGGAGGGCTCCTCAACCACTATCTTAGGGATGGCAAATTTTGACTGGAACTACACCACTGCAAGAAAAGAAAGACCGGTTAGAAAAATAACGATAAGAAAAATAACGTAAAGATTGAGAAGGGCAGTTGATAGACCTTTCTCCTTCTTCTTCCTCGCCGGGCGTGAAGGACCGGCAGTGGCAGTGGCCGGGGCTTTGGATCCCCTCGCCTGGCGGATGGGGATGGCTTCGGGGATCGCCCCGGGCAGAACAATCTCTGGTTCGGGGTCAGTCTCCCGGCCGGGGTAGACGCTCCACTTCCCGACGTGGTACAGACCGCGGGTGGAGGCGTCCCCGGCCCGGAGGGTGGCTTCCCAGGCAGCCAAGTCACCGGCCTCCACTGGTTTGACCTGGCGCTTCATTCTTTTCCCCCAGACGTTTTGGGCAAAAGGAAAGGCAGCCGGGGGGAATTTGACACGGACATATTTGTCCTTCCACTTCTTGTTAGAGGGTGGAAGGCCACAAAGGAATGCCCAGCCTTGGTGGGAAGACACCACCACAAATCCAAGGGTTTCCTTGGACCCGGGCCGAACATCGAACGTATGGTCAAAAAGACGAAGAGAGAGGGGGATACGAAGAAACCGGCAGACATTGATGAAACTGCCCAACAAACGGTGACCATTAGGGGCCAGCTGCCCGGGCATGATACCGTATGTCTCAAGAAAAAGGACTTTGAATGGGTGAATAGAGAATTCACCCAAGTCCTTGATAGAATGGTAGTGGATACCAATCGACGTACCGACGTGGAGAGGAATGATGCTCTTCCACGTTGCCCGGTAGGTCAATTGATACCCATCGGGCATCAGATTATGCAGCTCGTGAACTTGGGGCTTCTGCATGTACGATGATTGTTCTTGAACCAACCGATCGTCAAGCAGAATGAAACCCTCGTCCCCGGGCTGGGCAACCGAGGCCACTTGCGCCACGGGAGAAGAAGGAGCGCAAGTGGAAGCATCAACCGGCTTCTTCTGTGGAGAAGTCGCCGGGTGCTCAGAATCAGAGGATGAAGAAGAAGAAGAGGAACCAAAGGTTGGAGACCGGCCGCTAGAACCATAAGAGTGGACGGAAGGGTTCTGGCTATCCTCACGGTCTGACATGACTCAAAAAGGGAAGGAGAGAAATTTACTTGTAGACGATTAGAAGACTCGGAGGACTCAGAAATAGTAGAAGCAGCCGGGCAGTTTTTGAATCGAAGATTATAGGAAAGATGCCGCCCAGACGGACGAACGAAAGGATGACACGTGGCAGCTGAAATGATTTGCCATCATAACCTCTCGGGGAGACGAAACGGCACAATAAATCGGCGGCTCCGTACCTGGCCTTGAGAAGATTCTCCCGCTTTGGACACCCGATTTTTGAAATTTCAAAATTCAAATTTCAAATTTCAAATATTGTGGGTTGGCGCTGGTTTTCCGAGACGATTTTCCCGCCAAAAAAATGACTGGGCATGACAAATTTCAGGAGATGATCGCATATGCTTCCCGCCCCTGATGGTCCCCACATGACCGGGAATCGGAGGACTCCTTGATGGGTAATAACCCGTTAATACCACCCGGTTGGTTCGGCCGACAGGGTGGTGACAGAAGTGACGGAACGCGTCCTGGTCAGACCGGGTCATTTGGCCGGTTGATGGGAGCTGACCACCAACAACTGCAGATAGATTCTTCAAGTATTCTCATGCAACCGGTCAGAAACTTGGCCGGTTGGATAACCAGAGACGTGCTTGACGTGCTTAATTTTGTTATAAATACCCCTAAAATCCTCATTTGTGAGGTATGTTTTTAATTAACCTACACGGCTTGTACTTTGTAATAGTCCTAGAATTATCAATAACAAACCGGGTTACAGGTGTTTCCACCTACAGCCCTTCCGATTACTTTCACTTAGTATTTGCGTGGTAATTTACACCATCACTGGGTTTGGTTTAGTTCTATTTATTCAATTTTAGGTATTTTTAATATTTTTAGAGTTTAATTTTTAGTATTTTAGCTTAGTTTTATTTTAATTCTCATTTTTACAATCTTTTAATTTTCTTTTAAAAATAGTAGGTTTTTAATTATTTTTTAACATTTTATTATTGTCTTCTTTTTATTTTATTTTTCCTAACTCAAAATTATTAGATATCTTATTTTTTTGGAGAAAAATGTAGCAAAAAAGCCAAAGTGCAGTTCAAGT